AATATAACTCGCTCCACAAGCGCAGCTAAATTGATAGATACAATTGGAAGTGGCTAGTCTAGGTACTTCATCTTTCAGTCGAGGAATCACCATCGGTCGTGTAGAGAATAATACGTGTAGTTCGCTAGCATTAAAAGTTCTCTGAACTGATTTTCTTAATTTCTTCCCAATTATTTCGCTTGGTATATCGCCCTTGAATTGCAGTCGTACATAAGGTGGCTTCTTGTTTACAGATAGGGAGTAATCCTTTTCCGCTTTCTTTGTCATGTATTTCTTGATAAATTTGTCGGGATAACCACTTTTCGATCAAAGTATTATAAACAATGCTTAATTCATCTTCACTTACTTCTTCTGAGCATATAGCTCTAACTGTGTGGCATTTAAGTGTCTGCAACGATCACAGTGATTTCCTTGGTTAGGGTTACTAGTCTCACGCCCAAACTTCTCTTTTACCTCCTCCAAAGACCAGCTAGTGAACCAATGAACTAGTAAACTAGGTGAGGTTTTAACATTCTTGACGTTAGCATATTAACCACTGAAGGCATAAATACCCGGTTTCTTTCCCCAGATAGGATCGAAAACACTGATCTAGCTGATGAGTTTAAACTGGAATGAAATACAAATTCTAAATTGCTGTGCTTATCACTATATGGAACACTATATTCAGAATTAACCACCTGGTAAAGTACCGAACACGAGTAGCACAATTTGATGGGGGGGGGGAGGGAGGGAAGAGAAGAAATATTAGCACTTGACTGGCTGAATATCTGCAAGCGAAATAACTTCGTCAAAACAATGAAGGTCACTAATTTATAGTGAATATCAATGAAGTGTAAGTGGTCATTTTTAAGGACTTAGTTAGTTTACCAGTCCACTAGCTTACTAGCTGGTGCTAAGCCCGAAAAAAGAGGGAAGGTTGGGTGTAGGGCTAGCAACCCTACCCCGGAAAATCAATCCAGTTTCTACAGTAACGTCAAAGGACAACAAAAATATGAAGAATAAACTCATTATTTTCTAGAATCGGCAACGAAATGACGCGAGCAGGTGAAAGCGTTCATGAAGTCAGTCAGCTGGTTTGTCTTCTTTCAATGAAAGCAAAAATGAGCATTGGGATTTGGGATGTGCTTATGGTGTTCAAAGCTGAGAAGGTAGCTAAGATTCCAAAACAAGTGAAAAGATGTGGTACAGACGTGCTCAGAATCGATCAGATCAGGTGAAATAGATATGAACTCTTCAAATCGTTAACTAAGGAGTCAATGATTCACTCTGGTCATCTAGACGACAACCGCGAGCGCATTGAGGAAGTGGTAATCACGATGTCAGCAACTAGGTCGAAAGCTCTAATAGCGTGAGAACCATTCCCCCCCCCCTCCAGGATTATGACAGAGGGATCCAACTCAAAAGGTAGTAAAGTTACAGTTATCCAGTGCTATGCTCCTACAAACAAGTGAGAACAAGAAAAGAAGGAAGAATTCTGCGGATAGCTGTAAACAGTATTGGACAACATCAAAACCCCAACAGGTAATGTGAATTCATACCTACCATTTTTGATCGTTTTCGTTTCTTATTCATAATAAATAATTTATTCTTGCTGAAAATAGTATTCATCAGTTTGGAAGTCCGATGGCAACTCTTGAATAAAACTTACATATCCATTTGGAAGTTCCATTCAGAAATAATATAATTCCCTAATGTATGCTCTTCTAACTTACGCATAAATTCAGGAAAGAGTATGAGACTCATCGATAATATGACGTATTCTACGGAGTAATAGGGGAGTTAAATACTATTGTAACAACAGAAGACAAGGGCCAAGGCAACAGATCGTTTATTAAGGAAATCAACACATATTTATGGATTTTCGTGTACATATTATAGATTATTGTTAGCAGAAAACCGCAGAAAGTTAACCTTGCATCTCTTTGTGGATGTTTCTTGAATGTCAGATCATCTATATGTTAACTGTATCTGCCTACGCAAAGCCTTTGTTCTCATTTTTCTCACGACCAATATTCGAGACATAAACATTGACATAAATTACTGTCCACCAGTTTTGACTAACAGCCAGCTCTCACCACACTATTGCTTTTTTCTCTTCTATTAAGACCTTTGAGATCTACAATACCTTCTTGACCTTGTACTCTGACTGTAACTACACAAATTAGTGATTTCTCCACCTTTATGTAGCATATTAGGCAAAGCTGTTCTGCTCGAATCACTGAGCTACCTAAATTTCCATCTAACAAAAGGCACAAAATCTTCTCTATTTCTCTTTATTTTAACCATTCAATCGTGTCCATGGGTTGCCAAATGTACTCGTGCACATTTTTAATTAGCATCTCTTGGCAACGAAAGAAAAATACTATAAGGAATTACTTTTAATATCAGTAAAAAGTTTAAGTATTGTGGATTAGATCAAATAAAGTATAATTATATTTCAATGGTTTACATACAGTGATAAGTTTTTGTTATTGGTAGTATTTCCAGCAAAATTAATGCCTATGTTCATATCAACTGCCGGAATTGTTTTTTAATACACACATTTATGATTTGTACTCATATATATATATATATATATATATATATATATATATATACATAATTCCTTTTTTGTTTATTCATTTTTGTGTATTCAGAATTATATTCCAGGTTGTTGCCAATTTTACTGACTCGCGCTTGTTACATGTATCCGGTGTGACTTTGATGAATATAGATTTTGTGATAAGTCTCTCTTACTTTTATTCTTTGGATCAAAGGGCATTGCGTCACATGTGGTATTGTAGATTACTCTTTCACTTGAAGATGACAAATGAGGAGAAGATATTACTCAATAGACTAATCTGAAAATATTGTATATTGTGTAAACATTTTGGGCAGAATAAAGCTGTTATTATTATTATTACTGATATGATTAGTAGTACTATTATTATGTTACTCGGTCTCAGTACCAACAGGAACACTATCAGATGCTTGGATCCATCTAACTGAAAACTAGTAAATGTGAGGAATCGCGCATCCTTGATAACAGTTCAAGTCGACATTAAACTATCCCAGTGTAAAATCCTTTCCCCAACTAGCTAAATTATATATATATATATATATATATATATATATGTCACACTGTCTGGTTCCAGGAGTGAAACCGATTTTATTATATGGTTATTATGCTTGTCAGCATAAATCAGCAAGGTACATACGCAATATTCATGAGGTTTAAGTTCATGGCCTCCTGCTGAGTATTTTTTCCACTTACAGTTTATATCCTTCTCTTTTGTATTACGTAACCACCAGGATACTAATTTTCGTGCATTGTAGATTTCCCCTATGATTCTATTAAAATTATCACACTAAGTTTGCATGCAATAACCTTTGGAACATTTGATAGCCATGAAGTTCCCTTTAAGTTTATTGATTAATTTTATCCATAACTGAGGTATGATGAGAAATGCCAAATTGATGAAAAGTTTACAGAAAGAACGATATGTTATCAACAAGATAAGACTACCTAGGATAACCTTGAATTATAATTCATGTTCACACAGTGATTAGTTTTCCTTCAATTGATAATACTACTAAAATCACCGCATATCAACTTGGATTACACAAGTATTTAAAGGGAAATCTAAATGAAGTATATTTCACTTAAGATCAAGTTATTTGGTGGATGGTAACTTGTATTGGAATCCAGGAAGCACATTTCTCCCTATTTAGAACCCGTCAACTGGATGTACCTGCAATCCCCAGTGAATGATAACGTTCCCACTGGAACTCGAGCCCAGCATGTGAAAGCGTCATTCACTTTACCACTTGAACCACGAGTAAACAGAGGCCAAACATTTCGGTAGAATCAATCAACGGGGAAAAACAAAATAGATAATTCCTTTTTAGGTTGTTTATATTGAAACAAATGTAAATGAACAATGAACAGTTAACAACTGCTTTTAACAATCTATTACAGCGGATTCCGGGAAATGAGGCAGGCCTTTCTAATGACTTGCTAGACTAAGAACATTATTTTAGAATCAAGTTACAATATTATTATATTAAAACTAAACACTTAGTAAAAAATCACTAGACAACCAACATTATTTCCAATCGGTTCTAGATATTCAAATTTACGGACTTGAGAAGTACCCATTGTTCCTTATGATGCGATATCTTATCAGGATCATAATTATTTTGCCCTTGGAAAGCAATAATATCCATCCTCATCTTAAAAAATAGACATTTAAAATTAGTGTGACACTTCTTCAAAATAGTATGCATGCATTGAGGTCAACACAAAGTTTTATGCCTTGAGTTCAATTCAATCAAGTTTTCGCTATGGGAAACCATTAGGCTTATAAGTGGAGCATTGACCGGAAATTTCGAAATAGTATTAGCGCAGCTTTGCCTGTATGTTTATTTAACACTACTGCAATGGAGATTCTGTTAATGTTTCAACTATTAAACATTATTCAATACGTTACAATTTTAAATGGATCATTTAGGCTAAAATTTCAACCTGATGCAGACATACAGTTAACAGACGGTCAGTGTTGATCAACTATCTATCTTATACCAGTCTTATTTTAGAGAATTATTTGAATTAGACAAAGCTAAACAACACTTGAAGATTTCCAAAATAAAACCGTACAAGAGGTCTAGCCTTTCGCTATTGAAAAGGGATGTATGAATCAACCCACATGTTTAATACTTCTTGAAATATGAAGTGATTTTTAAAAAGGTCATTTTCAAAATGATCCTAATTTTACCTGATCTAGTTTACCCTGTGCTAGAAACAGATGTTAGTTAGTCTGCTTTGTGTGGTGAATCAAGAAAGACTTTTCATGTGTAAACAATACCATCTGTCTCTTGTCACTAATTTTTCAACCATAATAGACCCCATTTGTATTTCTCTAGACAATGTTAACCAATTAAATCAAACTTTGTCATACCACCCACTCATAATTTTGAGGTTAAATGACCTTGTTGCAATTTGCCACTGTCTGATTGGTTTAATAGTCTTGTTGGAAAAGACCTATTTGAACGGATGAAAATATTCGTGTATTACGAGTTGTTATTGTTAAAAATTTCCGTTACAAACATGATTACTTTATACACATGAACGTTTATATCGTGAACTGTAAAGACCAAAGGATGTTTATCAAGCAATTATGTTGCATACATCGAGAATTGACTTAAACTATATACGAGATATACTTTGTTTAATATGAGAAATTAAAATCATGTATATTACCTGTAAATGTTGGATAATTTTACTTTTCCTATTCTCATTAATTTGGAGAGTTAATACATATAAAGCAGAACAAAGTAAGTTCATTAATATTTCCTAAAAAATTTTCTTATATCATTAAAATGAATAATATGTTGAAGTTAAATTAGTCGTAAGGTGGAGTTTCATGATGGAGTACTCTGCTCTATAGTTTCCACATGGAACTTTCATCAAGTTTATGACAAGGTGACTTTCTGTTGAGTGTACTTCACTGGGTGAAATGACTCTTTCTGCTACTCACAGGTTACAGGTGAACTTCAATTTGTGGTTTACGTTTTATCAAATGGACTGCATATTTATTAACTAAGAGTTATTTAAACTAGGAATAATTAAGCTTTGTATTTTCCGAGTCAGCTTGTTTGTTTGGTAAAGCATAATGTTACGGAAGTATTTACTGGGTGACTTTCAGAACAAATTCACTATTCATAATCATATCAAAGTAATCAGTATCAATTTGTTTACGTGAGTACATTCTCAGAATTCCTCGTAAAAGCTTTATCAGACCCATCAAAAAGCGTGTCATAAAGTAGGAAATCTACATAAGTTTTGAACCTGGACGTTGACGTACTGTCCACATCATTGCCATTTTCAAACTCCTCTCCCGCAAGCTATCCATTTTCTTTTATCTCATCGTAGCTTCTGTCTACTAATTTAATATTCAATATACTAATAAAAGCTGTTTAGTCATACTTGTGTGTGATCTTGTCATAACTTATACAGAGTTATTATTTCGGGTGACAACAACCAGCAATCCATCTGAAATACACCTTCATTGTTCCTGGTTATAAATTATTATTATTATTGTATCCTTTAATTCCTAGAGGAACATAGGGCTTCATCCGCGCGCCTCCATTGCCTTCGGTTTTCTGCCAACTATTTTCACTCCACTCCAAGTCTGCCCACATGCTTTCATTTCCTCTTTACATGACCTCCTCCAAGTAACCCTTGCACTGACGACCAACTCGACGCTTCCCTTTCGGGTTCCACTCGAGCAATGGCTTGTCTAGGGATGTCACCTGATGGTTTCCTCAGAGTATGGCCAATCCATCTCCATTTATTCCTGCATATTCGTTGCACAATCGGTTCCTGGTTGGTTCGTTCATTGTCAGAGATCCCTGTTTCTGATCTTTTCTGGCCGGCCATCTGATCTTGAGTAGTATTGAGGGAAGACAACTGTTAATGAAGGTCTGAATTTTGTTTGAGATGCTCTTTATGACGCGCTGGCCAAGTCTCTGATCCGTACGGTGAGTAGCACTGACTTCACATTGGAGGTGAAAATCCGGATGTTATTTTTGATGCTGAGTGATGTTGAACTTCACACAGACTTGAGAGTAATGAAAGCTTGTCTTGCTTCTCCGATCCTCACTCCTTTGATATCCTCGTCAGTTCCACCCGCCTGTAGTTGAAACGATGCTTCCCAGGTTGGTGGGTAAAGGAGGTTGTTTCTTTCAGGTTCCTCCCATTTATGCTGGCTGATTGTTGTCTGTTGCTGTTGGCCAGGTTGGCCTGGTTATAAAAGTACTTATAAAACTTAATTCATCGGATAGCTTCTGATAAATCTAGTGTACTGATATATCCATCCATCTAGGCGAAGAGATAGACTAAACAGAGGTTATCGTGAATGCTTTCGGAGTCGATCATGCTCTCCAGAAGGTATTCCTAATGTTCCTTTTCCTAATTCTGTTTTGGAACAGATGTGGAACTTCCACTCAATGTTTGGCTTATTTCATCTCTGGTGTCAACACGACAGCTACCAGAGAGAATACTTAGTAGTTCATCCTCTACATACCTAAGGTTATGAAATTTAAGTGACTGCTACTATTAAAATTCATTACTATTACATGAGGATTTGTGGATTACATGACTGCTTACTCAGAACGGTTAGTTGTAGTACCAAAGCGATGTTTCAAAGTCAATGACAAAATTGCCCTCACTGTATATTCTCCCGAGAATCTAGAACGTTTTATTGCTGGAATTATACTAATTGAACGATTTGATCATGGATTGATATCAATTAGAGAACCATTGAAAACCAGGAAGTACTGGACAGCTGTGCCATCCTAGTTTGGGAATCATCGACAGTACGCACCCACATGGGTTCGAACTCAGGACCTTCCAGTTACAAGGTAATCTCGTATACCATTCGACCACTGGAACCCGATTCAATGATTCATGAATTCTAACTTCCAACCAATGTCGTCGGTGGGACATCCATCCTCACATGTGACTGGATAGACCTGACTGGCCACCACTTCTCACTAGAACTCCAGGAAACTCCATCCTATAGCAAGTTACTAGCGAGCATCAGATTAGTTTTCTATAATTGGTTTGTAAGGATTAGTTTTGCTAGAATTCATGAGCCACTGAATCAAGTCCCAGTGACTGAATGGTATACAAGCTCTCCTTGTAACTGGAAGTTCCAGTCTTCGAGCCCTAATGGGTGCGTACTGCCGATGATTCTCAAACTAGAATGAAACAGCTGTCCGATACTCCCTGGTTCTCAGTGGTTCTCTAACTAATTGAACGTTATTTCTTGTATTGGTGTTGTCAACTTCAACTTATTGTCTATTTGGGTCCTATACTAAATCACAGTAACTTAAACGTTTTTAGTTTGTACGACATCGACTTGTCTTTCTGCGTTTTCCACGTACCAGTTTACATAAACTGATTAAGTATAATGGTTATCTTAGCTTAGATGTTTTATATAAGGACTGTTTCTCTTTTACACTCACAACTACCGCACACTTCACATTCAAGTCGTTTCAATCACTCTGAGTGTGAATGAAACATTTAGTCTCAGATTTATATCGTAACCAATAGTCTGGTTTCTATCATAGAGTAGGTATCATTGACCTAGTTTCTGTGAATTTAAAAGGTCATTTTAATGAAGCTTTATAAGCGTATTCCATAGATTTAACGTAAATATATGTGTGTATACTTAGTATTGAGTGTTATGCAAGGGTTGTGAGAAAGAGCTGTTGTTCTAAGCATGAGAAAACAGAATAAATGAACAATGAAATGTTGGACTCAATATCTAATCATGACACAACTAGTTAATTAAATTAATTCATTAGTTTCTTTCAAACACCTGGTGTTTTATTTGATATATTTAGAAATAGATGAAGTTTAAAATCACACGGGATGAATGTTAAAACAAATAATTCAGTTGTTCAATTCCTCTGTTAAAACTAGAAACAAATGAGTTGAGATTATGAAATATAAGTGATAATTAGTCGCTGAACCATGGAACATGTATCTGATAGTGTACAGAAAATGTCAATTTTAGCCTCTGTCAACAGCCTGTATACGTCTCTTGAGTTGTAATAAAGTAGTACATAATTAATTCATTAATTGTGATTGTCCTTGAGTTATTTCTTCAACGGTTTTCATCCGTCGATTTCTAGCACTTTGGGAAGTATAGACTTCCTTAATTGGCTCAGCGAACATTTTGAGGAAATTACTAGGTGGATATTGCTGTCTTCTTTTTCTGTCTATCCTCACTAATTTTCTTCATCTCAGCCGACATGTGAACTGCTAACCATCAGTCTAATCATCGCTCTTTGATAAATATTAAGGAACATCTTGTCAGCACTGTAAATAATGTTGACCAACAATTATCATTCATTCATTAATTCCTTTACGTTCCCAGTGGAACATAGGGCTTCGAGCTAGAGGCTATAGCAGTGATGATTATTTTCACAGGATGGGGTTTCTAGCCTCATGCCCAACCTTCCCTGTTTACTAGTCTTACTACTGGTTTAGAGAGGCGAAGGAGTGCGTCTGCGGCCACTTGTATAGGACTCCTTACAAAATGAATTATCTATTTTATACAAACGGTATACACTGCATTATTAATAACGTTTTTTTCAAAAACGTTGGTGTGCCGTTTCCACCGATTATCACCCTCCACCATTTCTGTGTTATTAACATTTCATTATTGTCACTTTTATGACCCTCTTCGACTAAAATGCAAATAAAATTTATATAAAAATGGATAAATAGTAAGAAAATGCAAATAAGCGATAACTTCATTGTATTGTAACTTAAAACGCCTATTAAAATATAAGAGAAACTCAACATTCACTATTGATAATTTACATACGTTGACATTTATGATGCAGTGTGTCAACGTTAGTCGACTGTAAATCTTGAATTGAAATTGTAATAAATGACATTGCTCGTTCATTTACATAATTCTGTATGATATTTTGTTTTTGAAAAGTTGTGTTTTATTTATTATTTCAGTTAGTGTCATTGATAGTCGTGAATTAACGACTTCATCTGTCCATTCGATATTGAAAAGGATCCAGGTTGAAGGAAGAGATATTAGTCTTTCACGTATGGAATATATTCCTAGCTTCATCATTTAAACCTCAAAAAATTACCATTCTTTAAACATTCAGATTGGTGTTTTAGACTAGGGGGCTCATATGTGTAAGAGCTATACTGGGGTCGATATTAATAATAGTCTCACAACTGGCCTATGGGTTGACTAGTATACTGAATCCAGTATCAGTTATCATCGTTATCCCTGACTTTGTTATTAGCAGTCTCGATATTTTTTCACTGTTGACCACCTATCTGCTTTCTATATGTAGTTGCCTTGATACTAACTTTAGCGTGCGCTTTATTCTTGAACTTTTCAGCTTGATTTAAGTGTATTCCCATGAAAATGAAACGTTACTCGAAATGCAATTATAAATTACTACGGCTACATATTTATGACAGGTGCCTCTTGTTTCAGTACTGATGGAGGATGGTTAGTTCATGTCTATAGGTTACTCACTGTAAAACTAGCAATAAGTATCGTAGCTCATTAGCCAACTTGACATAACTATATGGTGTTTAAAGCAATGGGTATTGTATTCGAGTCCCACTATCAATAAGAGCATCTACTAAGATAGATACAAGTGTGTACCTGTGTAGTAAATCCTAGATAGAATGCAATACTCTGTCTAGATTCCACTGTTAGCCATTACCAGGGTACTTGATCACAAATGTTTTTGTTTAACCAACACTGGGATATTTTAGTGAATGC